TGTAAACAAACCAACAAACACAGGCTATAAATAGCTGCTAACTGACTCATGACTTTAAACTTCCTGCAGAGCCCGCAAAGCATCCTGGGAAGTGTAGTTCTTAAAGCTAACAGCGTGAGCATAGACTTAAAAAAGACAGAGTGGGAGAAATACTCAGGTCTTGTACTTGAGTAAAAGTAGAAGTACTCAGATCTTGTACTTGAGTAAAAGTAGAAGTACTCAGATCTTGTACTTGAGTAAAAGTAGACGTACTCAGATCTTGTACTTGAGTAAAAGTAGAAGTACTCAGGTTTTGTACTTGAGTAAAAGTAGAAGTACTCAGATCTTGTACTTGAGTAAAAGTAGAAGTACTCAGATCTTGTACTTGAGTAAAAGTAGAAGAACTCAGATCTTGTACTTGAGTAAAAGGAGAAGTACTCAGGTCTTGTACTTGAGTAAAAGTAGAAGTACTCAGATCTTGTACTTGAGTAAAAGTAGAAGTACTCAGGTCTTGTACTTGAGTAAAAGGAGAAGTACTAAGATGTTGTACTTGAGTAAAAGTAGAAGTACTCAGATCTTGTACTTGAGTAAAAGTAGAAGTACTCAGGTCTTGTACTTGGGTAAAAGTAGAAGTACTCAGATCTTGTTCTTGAGTAAAAGTAGAAGTACTCAGGTCTTGTACTTGAGTAAAAGTAGAAGTACTCAGATCTTGTACTTGAGTAAAAGTAGAAGTACTCAGATCTTGTACTTGAGTAAAAGTAGAAGAACTCAGATCTTGTACTTGAGTAAAAGGAGAAGTACTCAGGTCTTGTACTTGAGTAAAAGTAGAAGTACTCAGATCTTGTACTTGAGTAAAAGTAGAAGTACTCAGGTCTTGTACTTGAGTAAAAGGAGAAGTACTAAGATCTTGTACTTGAGTAAAAGTAGAAGTACTCAGATCTTGTACTTGAGTAAAAGTAGAAGTACTCAGGTCTTGTACTTGAGTAAAAGTAGAAGTACTCAGATCTTGTTCTTGAGTAAAAGTAGAAGTACTCAGGTCTTGTACTTGAGTAAAAGGAGAAGTACTAAGATCTTGTACTTGAGTAAAAGTAGAAGTACTCAGATCTTGTACTTGAGTAAAAGTAGAAGTACTCAGGTCTTGTACTTGAGTAAAAGTAGAAGTACTCAGATCTTGTACTTGAGTAAAAGTAGAAGTACTCAGGTCTTGTACTTGAGTAAAAGTAGAAGTACTCAGGTCTTGTACTACTTGAGTAAAAGTAGAAGTACTCAGATGTTGTACTTGAGTAAAAGTAGAAGTACTCAGATCTTGTACTTGAGTAAAAGTAGAAGTACTAAGATCTTGTACTTGAGTAAAAGTAGAAGTACTCAGGTCTTGTACTTGAGTAAAAGTAGAAGTACTCAGACCTTGTACTTGAGTAAAAGGAGAAGTACTCAGATCTTGTACTTCAGTAAAGTAGAAGTACTCAGATCTTGTACTTGAGTAAAAGTAGAAGTACCAGAGTGTAGGAATACTCTGTTACAGTAAAAGTCCTGCATTCAAAATGTTCCTCAAGTAAAAGTAGAAAAGTATTCTCATCAAAATATAGTGAAAGTAGCGACAGTAAAAGTAGTCATTGTGCAGATTGGTCCATTTCAGAATAATATATATGATATGTTTTATAATGATTGATCATGAAAGTGTTCTCAAAGCTGGTAAAGGTGCAGCTAGTTTGAATGACTTTGTATACTGCAGGGTAGCTTGTGGATTTACTCCAGGTGGAACTAAAGTCTGATTTAACACTTGATTATATTTCACATCATTCATCCACATCTGTGAAGTAACTAAAGGTATAAATACATGTAGTGGAGTAGAAGTACACCATGTACCTCTGAACTGTAGAGGAGTAGAAGTACACCATGTACCTCTGAACTGTAGAGGAGTAGAAGTACACCATGTACCTCTGAACTGTAGAGGAGTAGAAGTACACCATGTACCTCTGAACTGTAGAGGAGTAGAAGTACACCATGTACCTCTGAACTGTAGAGGAGTAGAAGTACACCATGTACCTCTGAACTGTAGAGGAGTAGAAGTACACCATGTACCTCTGAACTGTAGAGGAGTAGAAGTACACCATGTACCTCTGAACTGTAGTGGAGTAGAAGTACACAGTAGCAGAACATGGAAATACTCAAGTAACAATAACAAAAACAGGATTCTTTTGATCTGTGTAGAAATATATTTTCTCAGACAAACTACACAGTCATTACAGCCGGCCTGTAATCTCAGCAGCAAATACCCACAATGCAACAGGACACAGATTCATGTGCAAACTGACAGAAGATGTGATTCTTTACCTGGATCTGACGTCACATCTTAAATACATTCAGTATCCATTAATGCACTTATATTTCAGTCATGCAGACAAACTTTGACACGTACAAAATGACACATTTACACAGACATGCAGGAAATCACACCCGAAAACCTGAAGTTCTGCAGAGAGGACGACACAACACCCGGTGGAACAAAGCAGAAAATAAAATACATTTTGAGAGGGGAGAATACGTCAAAATGCATACATTCGACGTTAAAAAATAGAAAATAAATGGACGTAGAGATGAGTTATTTAAAAAAATAATAATCTGGATATAAGGATTAAAAATACCTAAATAAAACAATGAAATAAAAATAGATAATATACAAGTTTTATACTTTTTTCTCTTTATACATGCTCTTATTTTAAACACAGATATGGCTTCTTAGACATTTAATGAAGTGCATACGCAATACTTTCATTCATTTGTAAAATAAGACTAGTTCAAATAAGTAAAACCACGTCTCGTTCAAAAAAGACGGTGGAGGAAGACTTCAGATTTGTTTTGAATTAAAAGTAAAAAGTCCTGCGTTAAATTAAATAAAAAAATAAATATGGAAGTTATTTTTTAAATGTCGTTAAATTAATATTTTTAAAATGTAGTTTCATTATTTTTATTACATTTTATTTATCCATTAATTGTCTATATGGTGAAATGCCTCTTTAACCTGCAAAATAATACGACTAATCTTTACAATTATTATAAGTAAAGCTTTTTTGGTGGAGCTTTTATACAAACTAAATGTATATTATTGCTCATTGTGACTGTTATAATAATAACATTAATTGTATTGCTCGTGCATTGACGTAAAAGATTGTATTTGGTTAAGACTAATTTTCTTTTTAAATGATTTTATCCATTAATTATCTAAACTCTATGCGTGCAAAAATGAAAGAATGTCCCTTAAGCTTGCAAAACAATAATAAAATATATATATATTAGAGAACAAGTTGCCACTAAAATCCTCTAAGTCAGCGGTTCCCAACCTTTTTCAACTCACTCAGGGCCCACTTAAGCATCAACATTTTTTTCGTGGCCCACATTCAACCATAAACAATACGGAGGCTAAATAAAGTTCTGATTGGTCGATTCAGAACATGTGACACGTTGTTATTCCAGTAGAACAGACCTCTGTCAAGGACTGTAATGACCGTTGCTAAGGACTGTAATGACCGTTGCTAAGGACTGTAATGACCGTCGCTAAGGACTGTAATGACCGTTGCTAAGGACTGTAATGACCGTTGCTAAGGAGGATCGAGAAAGAGAAAGGAAAAGAGGTTCAAATTAAAAATAATCTTAATAATGAAAATATTTCCACAAAAATCATAATGTTTTGCAAATTATTTGGCAGCAAATATTGAATTTACATTTTGGGCTTTTAGATAAGGACCGCACACAGTTAATAAATACAACTATTCTTCTGGCTAAAATACATCTTTTTAAAAGTCAATCAAGGAGTAATCTTAATTTAAGGTGTTTCTTTTGGAAAAAACGATTGCCACAACAAATCAAAGGCTGGACACGGCATGAAATGGGAAATAATGAGCTCTAACGAAGAGTGGGATCAAAGGAACAATAAATATGCCATGCTGTGTTTTTGGTGGTTTTTGGTTGTCAACCTATTTTTGTTTGTGAAATGTTGAAGTGATCCTACTGACTGTATCTTTAATTCTTCTGTTTTTGTTTTGTTGTCATCTCCTATATGTTATTGTTATGTCCATGTTTGTGTCCCACTTGCAATGCCTTCGCGGACCACTAGGGGGCCGCGGCCCACAGGTTGGGAACCGCTGCTCTAAGTATTATCTTTTTTATTTTACAGAGCATTTACTGTTAAAAAAAACGTTTTCATTTTCAACATTCGGAGAATCTGACATACTATTTTACAGAGTATGTATAAATACTGCAGTACATGGAGTCACAGTGCATCATGCATCTCTACACACACAGAGTGAAGAATGAATAAGACCTTCATGCAGCAGCGGCACGCCTTCATTCAGTACATGCATACTCTGTGTAACATACACACTCATCACACACATGTACATTTCACACACTGTGTTTTTACAGGAAGAAAAGACTCTTTACAAGATTTACAAAATAAGTTTTTCCAAAGTAATAATAAAAAAAATTAAGAAATTGTACAACTTCCTCATATTAATGAAAATATACAAGAAATATAATTAAAGTGGACCTATTATGCTATATTAGCCATGCCTCATACTGCTCATACCCCTCTGTTCCAGCCCCGTTAGAGAAACGCGGATTTTGGGTCGTTAGCTCAACAAAAAGGAGGCGGAGATAAAGTAAAATTCTGCATTGATAAAACGCCATCCTGTTCTAAACCACATCAAGGATTATCTCTGAAACAGTATGGAGCTCAAATGCTTTTTCTCTTGCAGGTTTACCACAAGGTGAGTTCCTTTTTATATTTCCTGCTTTTTAAACACACGTGCTCTCCAGTACAGGTTAGCTCTGAGTGTTAGCGACGCTTGCTAATGTAAACAAAGACGAGATTACGTCCAAAACACGTCAGGCATTGTTTCTGATAGCAACTCTCTGTGGGTCCGCCGCTGATTTGACGTCATATCGGCAGCAAATCTGGATCAGCTCGTTGTACCCCCGTTTTAAAAAGATTTGGGTACGGAGGAAAAGAGAAAGGGTTTTATTTTCTGACGCTGCGTGAGTTCCCCGACGCACCGGGGACACGTATTTATGTATACAAGACATCACAAAGTGCATTTTGCATGATAGGTCCCCTTTAAATAAAAATATTTTACATGTTTACAGGGAGAGACGCTAACTTTGAATTGGTCTTCTGCGTTTGCTGGGACTCTGACCCGGATCCACCCTCAGCTCGCGGTAGTGCATCTGAAAAATATTACAAAGGAAATTCATTTTTAAGAGATTCTAAAAGAAATGTAAAATTAATAATTAAAATTCATTAGAATTATTTTTTAAAACATTAAAAAATACAGAAAATTATTTTTGAAAAAATTGAAAAATACAGAAAATTATTTTTTCTTTACTTCAGATATACAAATTAAATATCTGAAGTGATCTGGACTATTCACACATTATTTAATATTTAATTAATTAGTTATCCTCCCCTCTCTGCAGCTACTCACCACCTGCACGTCGGAGGGAACTCTGGACAGGAAGTCGAGCAGCTCGTTGTTGTCGATCATGTACGGGTCGCGCAGCTTCTTCGTGAACTTATTCACACCTGCAGGAGAGCAGATTAAAGTACATGCAGTATTTATATATGGTGTTATTAGCACTACTGTGTGTATCTGCGTTGTTGGTATTAGCACTACTGTGTGTATCTGCGTTGTTGGTATTAGCACTACTGTGTGTATCTGTGTTGTTGGTATTAGCACTACTGTGTGTATCTGCGTTGTTGGTATTAGCACTACTGTGTGTATCTGTGTTGTTGGTATTAGCACTACTATGTATATCTGCGTTGTTGTTGGTATTAGCAGCACTTTGTGTATCTGTGTTGTTGGTATTAGCACTACTGTGTGTATCTGTGTTGTTGGTATTAGCACTACTATGTATATCTGCGTTGTTGTTGGTATTAGCACTACTGTGTGTATCTGTGTTGTTGGTATTAGCACTACTGTGTGTATCTGTGTTGTTGGTATTAGCACTACTGTGTGTATCTGTGTTGTTGGTATTAGCACTGACCCCAGATCAGCACCAGGTAGCGCAGAGGGACGAGGTAGAGGAGGACGACGGCAGAAAGCAGAGCAGCGATCGCCAGCCAGCTGAGGAAGGGGACCGTCCAGTTCACCGTGCTGCAGGGGGGGGGGGAACATGGAGTAAAGGGGGATCGTATAGCATGGGGAAATACAGAAATTATTTATAAATACACATTAACCTGAACACAGATTAAAGGGGGTTTTCATAGCTTTGGGAAAATAGAGAATTTATGTTAGAACATTTTGAAAAATAGAGAAATTATTTTTGAAAACATTTAAAATGACAGAAATATTTAAGTAATAAATTATTTGTTTGAGAAATTTGAAAACACAGGTTTTAAAAATACTTATACAAATACAACATTTTGAAATACTGAAACTATTAGAAAGATTACATAATTTCCGGGGAAAATGTGAAAATTAGTGAACATTTTGAAAAATTTGAAAGATTACATAATTTTTTGGGGGGAAAATTTGAAGAATAAAGAATATTTTTCGAAAAAATACAGATTTTATATTTGAAAAATCTGAAAAATTCAGATCTTTCTTTCGAAAATAATTTTATTCTAAATTATCGCTTAAATCTAAGAAATTCTGCAAATGACAAAGCTCCGTTACTGGGAGCTGAGGGTGGATTTTGCAATGACCTGCAACGGCCCAATGATCTTGCTTTTCTCGTGAGGAAACCTTTAACCGTAAATAAAAAACTGTTTTCATTCCTTGGATGATACCCACTTCTTGATCCTCTCTCCGTTCGACGCCACCTCGTCCAAAGCGTTCTGAACACTGAAGAAAACGTCCTGGATGGCGTACAGTTTGTTCATGAAGCCTTTGTGCTCAGACTCCTTAAATAACACGAGAGAAATAAATATTAAATCAGTAAAAAATTTCTCGAATATAAAAACAGCTGATTCATGACGACATACCTTATCCTCTTTATCGTCCTCTTCATCCTCCCAATCAAACATGGCCTCCATCGTCTGCAGCAGGAAATAAAACAGGTCACTCTTTGTAATACATACAATAACATTGAGAAAAATATAGAAGTTATTTTAGAAAAATATAGAAGTTATTTTAGAAAAATACAGAAATTATTTTTGAAAAATACAGAAATTATTTTTGAAAGAGAAATTAATTTAGAGAATATTTTGGAGAAAACCTTAATTTTGCATGCAGCAGGACCAAAAGCTATTTTCTGAAAAAATAGTAAAGAAAAACGTAACATTTAAAATACATTTTTATTTATTTGGGCTAATTTATTTCCTAAAACATAACATGTTACTCTTTGTCATAGAACTTTAATTAAACCGAGCCGACAGTATATACCTGTGATCTGTTTCACTGAATGCACTATTTTATTTGTATTTACTTGTTGTATCTGTTTTATGTCCTATATTCATGTTGCTCTGCTGGAGGAGCCTGGGACTTCAGTTTTTCATTGCCATATCTACAGGGCCGCCGCTTGCGAACAGGCAAGGCAGGCAACTGCTTGGGGCCCCGGACCAGAAGGGGGCCCCCAAAGAAGGTAGATTAAGAAGGTCCACAGCAACGACAACATGAAACACCCTTTAATTTACTGCAACGACATGTCGGGAAACCCCCTCAAGGGGGCCCACGCATAGCGCACCTTAAAATGCTGCTTCTTATCTTAAAGTGGACCTATCATGCTATATTTGAATAATACAGTGTAGGGCCATACCTATATAAGGCATATTTATTTTTTATTTTTTTGCAGATCATGCATTTTAGCCATGCCTCATTTTGCTCAATTTGACATTTTTTAGCTCTGTTTTAGCAAGGGCTGATTCAGTGAGAACAGCACCACCTACAGGCCTGGCATATGTACTACAGCGTCTCCAGCGCTTTCGAACGGCAATGGCCGTGGCTGTCTCCTCCTGATTGGTGGAGTTGGCCCAATAGCCGTAGTGCCACCGTCCTGACGTCAGGACAGTGTTCAAATCTGGATCAGTTTTTATCAGATCCGTTGCAGCCCCTTTTTTAGAGATTTGGGTATGGAGGAAAATAGAGAGGGTTGTGTTTTCTGACACTTATGGCGCATTTCCATTGCAGCGCGTAGCTCGCTTTAAGCGTGCCGTGTCGTGCCGTCCCCTTTTTTGGTTGTGCTTCCACTAGGCCTCGTTCCGGCGCGGCACGGCGCGGGGCCACTTTTTCCCCTCTTTTCTGGCCCTAGAAAATTGTGGTTCTATCGGGGCCAACAAACAGGGCTGAGTCGGGCTGAGTATGCTAAACTAGAGAGAGGAGCGCTGGCAAGAGGGCTAGAACTACAACAAGATGGACATATTTGACCGTGATTTAATTGTAATACACGTTTCAAAATGATGCCGAAGTAACAACATACTGATACCGGTTAGTAAAAACCATGAATTAATGCTTTGTCAAGTCTGCAGACAGACGGCAGGCGAAAAACCTTTTAAAATGCGTGTTTTTCTAGATGGAGATTGGCTAAGCTAACGCAGTATATGCCCCGACCGTCCACACTCACAACAACGGCCTATACAGACATAAATAAAGCAGCGACTGTATTCACCATGACACAGGCAGTCTGTGGTGTGTACTTGTTTAACTTTTGTCGAGTTTCTGAACATATATAAGGAGCTGTGAGCTCTGAGTGCTAATAGCTAACGGCTGTGTTGTGTTTCTGGATTTCTCATTGAAGATGACGTCACGGCTCCGCCTACACTGCGTTACTATAGTAACTACCCCAGTTCCTAAACTGTAATGGAAGCGCAGCATGAAGTGAGTCGGCCCTGTTAAGGCCCAACGCGGCCAAGCCGTACCGAGCCGTACCGAGTGTGGCCGAGGCCGACCGTGTAGTGGAAATGCGCCATTAGTGAGTTCCCTGGAACACCGGGGACACATATTCATGTAGAAAAGACGTACAAAAGTGCATTTTGCATGATAGGTCCCCTTTAAGTTGTGTTGCCTTGCTCCGCTCCAGGAGGGGGGGGCTGTCGGCTGAGCGTGGTGATGAATAGCTGGTTCGAGGGGCCCCCAGTGAATGTTTGCCTAGGGCCCCCACAGACTCTAGGATCGGCACTGCATATCTACACTGTACTGTAGCTGCTGAGCACATGACAATAACGCCTTGAATCTTGAAAAAAGGGAATTATGTTAACGTTTCCTCACCGTGTCGGTCGTGTCTCGGCTGCAGCTGAACAGATAGTTCCAGACGAGCAGCAGCAGCAGAGCGAGCGGCAGCATGTAGAGCTCGAAGTTCCACACCACTAGCACAAACATCTGGAACACAGGGAACACGTACTGTAAAGTAAACACAGTAAATGTACTCAAGTGTGTGTGAGCAATTGGTTTTTTAAATTAGGAAAATACAGAAATTATTTCTGAAAATGTAACAATTACAGAAATGATTTTGGAGACATTTGAGGAATACTAAAAAAATTGTTATTTGTGATATTTTTGAAAATTTTAGAAATTATTATTGATCATTTGAAAACAGAATACTTATTCTAATTATTGGGGAAAAATTAGGAAAACACATTTGTTGTTTTATATATTTTTTAAATACAGAATTTCATTTTTTTAATTCTGAATTTTCTTTAAAAAAATCTAAATAAGATCTAAGAGTTTTTTCTCATAATATTATCCCCTCTCCCCATATGTTAGTTTATACCTGCAATGGCCCAGAAACCAAACATCCCGTACATATGCGACTCTAATCTTCTTTAAAGGGGACCTATCATGCAAAATGCACTTTTGAAACAGGAAGTGAAATAGAGGGATATGAGGCATGGCTAGAATGGGTGATCTGTTTGGTATTTTGAGCAAAACACTTCATAGACATGTTTTTTATATATTTTTAAATATATCTGAGACCTATGCTATTGCCTAAAAATAACATGATAGGGGACCTTTAAGTTTGAAAAATACTGATTTATTTTGTGCAAAACTTAGAAAAATACAGAACTTTTTTTTAATGTAATTTGAGTGTGGTGTGTATGTGTGTGTGTGTGTGTGTGTGTGTGTGTGTGTGTGTGTGTGTGTGTGTGTGTGTGTGTGTGTGTGTGTGTGTGTGTGTGTGTTACCACGAAGGAGAAGATGCTCCTCTGTGCAGACTCCCACTCGAAGCAGCTGTTGATGTACGTGCCGTAGCTGATGAGGACCATGATGCACCTCTTCACCCGGTTGAAGTTCTGCTGCAGCAACTGAAACACACACACATTAAGATACGTTTACTATAAGGTGTGTGTGCACATAAGTAGCTGTTTACCATCACAGTAAATATAAACACACATTAACCGACCTGTTTGGAGACCTTTGGCTCTTCCTCGATGAATTTCTGCTCTGCAGGGACGATCGTCTTCATCGCTGCTTTCACCTGAAGACAGAAAAAATGACATTTTTTACTATTTATTCTATTTTTTCAAATCTATTTTTCCTCATTATTTTATTTACATTTTTTTTTGACATCTCGTCAGACTGTTATCCAGCATTTTTCAGGTATAGTCACATATTTGCAGGCTCATGTTAGCCATATTCTATAAGGTCAACAGATGTTATTTTTCCGTACATTTTTTATATATTATTTCTAAAATATTTGAGACATTGTTCGCATGTTCCTTCAAAATGTTTACCCATAAATGTGAATATTTTTGGGATGATTTTCTAATTTTTTAAAATATTTTTGGAAGGTTTTCAGACATTTTATACTCGCATAACTTTCTGATTTCTTTCAGATATTTTTTAAGTCATTTGTTCAGGTATTTTAGCAGACTTAATTCAGAGGAAAGGAATAAGGGAAACTCACGGTGTTGTAGATGACGTCTATCTCCAGGTGAATGACTCCTTTACTCGGAGCCGTTAACTCCTTGTTTTTTAACACGTAGCTCTTCTGCTCACCGTTACGGATCTGAAAGGACAAAAAAACAGATTTCCAGATTCATTAATTCACTTTTGAGAACATTTCAGATTTGTTTTTCATTTGTATTATCCAGTGGCGACTGGTCATTAGGGGCAGGTGGGGCACAGCCCCACCTAGTGTCAGCAGAAAGTATTACAAATAATGATTACAAAAATGCAAAAAAAAAAATAAAAAAAAATATAAAATATATTTTAAGATCATGTTTAATCATCTGATTCGTCTGTACATTGCTGTTTTAGTCTGTGTTCTTCTAATTAGTGTGTCTACAGTCACAGTGTGTGCCTATTGAGCTGTTTAGAGCCATGTGGGACAAAACCTGATCATGCCCCTTCCTCTCGCTGTGAAGTCAACGGTGACTGTAAAAACTTCACTGCGCATGCTCAGAGTATTTTGTAATGAAATGTGTGTGGCAAAAAAATAATGACCAGAGGGGCATGGAGCTACCATCCCCACCATACGTCATCTCAAATCATTCAGAGCTGATTGGCTGTAAGTACGTGTGCCGCGAAAAGTGTGCTGTGTGAAGAGGAGACGAGAGAGCTGCAGTGGCGCGTCCTAAAACCAGGAAGTAAGCACAAAAAAGCAATGAGATTTCTCCAGAGGATTTTAGAAAATAGCTCGAAATAAGATCTGTGGGAAACGTACCTGTTAGATAAATGCACGTTTTGATCAGCCGGATAACATCCACATGTCTACCCTACTTTTATAATTTTTTTATCATAAATCTATGGATTAGATTTATGATAGACTTTTGAAACTACAAGAACATAAGGAGGACTTTTACAAAAAAGTAATAGAAATGTTTGTCCAGAAGGATAGGCAAATGGACTTCATCTTCAAGTCAAGGTAAGACCGCCATTTTATTGAAAATGGGATCTTACTAAGAGAGAACAATTCAATATTTAAATGATAAAATGACATTTTTTGGGTATCCTTTTGTTGAACTGTCTGTTTAAAATTAATCGAAGCATCAGACAAAAAAAGCTTTTGAAAATAATATTATATTTTGGTTTAGGTCAAAATATAATATTTGTAAACCTGAAGAGTCAGTGCCAGTGCCTCACCAGCCATGAACCTCACTGCACGTCACTGCAGAAGCTTATATATAGACATCTAAGTTTTTTGTGCCCCACCACTTTTGTACATATAAAAACGCCACTGGTATTATCATTGTATTCACTCACATATAATAAAGGGATGGAGATCTTTCCCAGGAAGTCGGCGCTCCGGTCTCGGTCTTCATCGAACACCGTCACCTCCATCACCGAGTGGATGTCTTTAACGTTACTGAGGGAAGGAGAAAGAGAGAAAATGTTTATGTTCTATATCATATTAAAAGTTTACAATCCATCACTTCATTTAAGAATACAAAATATTTGTATAAACATAGGACAATTCAAGTATAAATGTCCACATTGTACTTCAATATATAAAATACATATTACAATATATACAGTGGTGTACATGTATGAATAAGATATTACTTACACATGTGTCTGTACATGGAAGTATTTTGGAAAGTAATTTAAAATAGATTATTAGATATTCTCTAAACACGCCGAAGCTGCTTTTAGTTTTGACTTGCCGCACAAATGGAACAAACTTCCAGAAAACCTGAGGTCTTCATCAACGCTGAGTTCTTAAGTCGTAAGTAAAAACATTTATTTGTACTGCTGCTTACACAGAAGTCATTTAACTTCTCCCTACACTTCTTGCAGCACCTGCTGTATTTACAATGTTGTTTTGAAGCCATCTCTTTTATGCATGGTTTTTATGAATCTGTTATTCCATTGTGTTCATTTGAGTTAATGTAGATGTGAAGCACTTTGAATTGCCTCTGTGTCGGAAAATGTGCTATATAGATAATCTAACCTCTACTCAAATTAAAACTATCATTGTATTTGTTGCACGTCATCTTTTCTTTTGTAATATAATAATATTTTTAAGGTATTATGTCTCAAAGGTCACTCACAAGGTGAAGACTTTGTTCCACTCTGGGTTCAGGTTCTTGTAGACGGTGTGAGTCTGCAGCCGGTCGTTGTTCAGCTCCAGCACACAGAACGGGTCGCTCTTACCTGAAAAATACACATGTTTTGGTCACTTTTTTGTATTATTTTGTCCTTTTTTGTCATTTCTTTTGAAAAATACAAATTTTTTTGTCAATATTTTTCAAAAAATACCGAGTTGCTTTTCATTATATTTGAAAAATACCGAATTTTTTGTCATTATTTTTGAAAAATACAGATTTTCTTTGTAATTGTTTTGAAAATAATACAGATTTTCTTTTAGCAAAAATTTGAAAAATACAGAACTTTTATTTAAAGGGGTCCTATCATGCAAAATGCACTTTTGTACGTCTTTTCTACATGAATATGTGTCCCCGGTGTTCCAGGGAACTCACCAAGTGTCAGAAAACACAACCCTCTCTATTTTCCTCCATACCCAAATCTCTAAAAAAGGGGCTGCAACGGATCTGATAAAAACTGATCCAGATTTGAACACTGTCCTGACGTCAGGACGGTGGCGCTACGGCTATTGGGCCAACTCCACCAATCAGGAGGAGACAGCCACGGCCATTGCCGTTCGAAAGCGCGGTAGACGCTGTAGTACATATGCCAGGCCTGTAGATGGTGCTGTTCTCACAGAATCTGCCCTTACAAACACAGAGCTATAAAATGTCAAATTGAGCAAAATGAGGCATGGCTAAAATGCATGATCTGTTTGGTATTTTGAAAAAAAAAAAGTATAAATATGCCTTATATAGGTATGGTCCTACACTATATTATTATAATATAGCTTGATAGGTCCACTTTAATGTAATTTGAGTGTGTGTGTCTTACCACAAATGAGATGATGCTGAACACACACATTCACAACGCATTACACACATATATGGATCGCAGCTGGTGTTACAGTACAGGACAGAGTTAATACGTGTTGTCAAAAATGTCCCAAATTGGGATCAATGAAGTACTATCTTATCTTATCTTAGAGCCAGTATTTTGTTTTGATAAGAAAAGCCACCTCATCGTGTCGTCTGTAGTCAACCAGCGTATAAAAGACTACAATTCCCACGGCACCTCCTCTAAAAGTGACAGTTATTGTCGGAAAGACGCCGTCGAGGAACAGTTTTTAACCGTTCAATTACCCTTTAAGTTAGTAAGTTATATAAGCCTTATCAAGAAAGAAAGAATACTTACAAGTTGTTTATTATTTTATTAGAGTTTTGAGTCTTTGTTTTGAATATTGTAAATGCCTCTTTTCTTTGTTGCATGTGTAAAAGTTTGTTATTTTATTTGGAGCAAACGCATCGCATAATATCATCCAAACCATCGGAGGCCAAGCAACTCTTGACGAGTTAAACACGTCTGTTTAAGGCGTCTAGTGGCTTGATAGAAAAACAAGGAAGGAAGCCACGACACGTGTAATGAGAAATATATATATGTTATTACCGGTGACGTCTGCAGCCATGAGTCCCTCGGCTCTCATCACCTTCACCTGAACAATGCCCACGTCTCTGAAGTTAGAGAAGGACTTCAGCGCCCCCTAGAGACACACACAGGAAGTTAATCAGAGTTTATTTTCTAATTAAAACCCATATCACATAATCTCTGGGGCTCTAAAAAAATCATCTCAACTGAGCATGTGCAAAGTATTCCTGTCTCTACTTTAAAGAGTCCTCTCCTGCTGATGTTCAGGTGTATATCAGTGTGTAGTGTCTCTACTTTAAAGAGTCCTCTCCTGCTGATGTTCAGGTGTATATCAGTATGTAGTGTCTCTACTTTAAAGAGTCCTCTCCTGCTGATGTTCAGGTGTATATCAGTATGTAGTGTCTCTACTTTAAAGAGTCCTCTCCAGCTGATGTTCAGGTGTATATCAGTATGTAGTGTCTCTACTTTAAAGAGTCCTCTCCTGCTGATGTTCAGGTGTATATCAGTATGTAGTGTCTCTACTTTAAAGAGTCCTCTCCTGCTGATGTTCAGGTGTATATCAGTATGTAGTGTCTCTACTTTAAAGAGTCCTCTCCTGCTGATGTTCAGGTGTATATCAGTATGTAGTGTCTCTACTTTAAAGAGTCCTCACGTAGCGTGTCAGGATCTCCCTCCTCTCCTGCGGGTCGTCCAGCGGGGTCACGGAGAGGTCGGCGATGGAGACGTGAGCGGAGGCCGTCAGCGTGACCAGGAGCACCACGAAGCCCCGGGCCTCCTCCAGAGGGAGATCCAGGTGGTGTGTGTGCTCCTTAGACAGAATGGAGAGGTCCAACTGACAGCTGAAACACACACACACACACACACACACACACACACACACACACACACACACACACACACACACACACACACACACACACACACACACACACACACACACACACACACACACACACACACACACACACACACACACACACACACACACACACACACAGTCTTTTCATTTTTATTATACAATGCCATGTCTTTTTATGCTGCTGCAACGCAAACAGTTCCCTAATTGTTATCAATAAAGTACTTCTTATCTTTTTTATCTCATCTTATCTTATGAGGACAGAAAGAGGACTGACCGTCCGATGAAGTCGTCCCTCCTCCCGGTGTCTCGGTCCCACACCGTGATCTCTAAAATTCCACCTGTCTCCTCGAACAGGTGGAGGTCGAACTGCTCCCTCCACTGAGGACTCAGAGTCTTAGGCACCGTCTGCACACACACACACACACACACACACACACACACACACACACACACACACACACACACACACACACACACACACACACACACACACACACACACACACACACACACACAAAATGGGAAACATTTAATATATGACCCAAATATGTATATATGTTCATTTCTTATTTTAAACTGTATATAATTGTAATATTATCTTTAATTTGATCTTTAATATATTCATCTTTAATCTTGTGTGACTCTGTGCTGTCCTGTTTTTACCTTGCTCCGGTACTTCTGGTGTCCGAGTCTGAACTTGACGTAGGGGTCCGACAGCCCGTTGGGGTCCATGGGGATCAGACTGCGACCCTCGATCAGAGCGATGCTGACGATCCCTCGCCACAACTGAGACTTCCTGTGAAGCTCGGAGAGACGCAGGGACTGCTGCTGCTCTCACACACACACACACACACACACACACACACACACACACACACACACACACACACACACACACACACACACACACATCTCTTAATTGAAGGTAAAGGACTTCTTTGCTAGGGCATTGTTGAGAAAATCAATAATAAGCTGGCAGACTTTTTCTTTTAAAGTATAATTAAAGATAGAACAAACTGTGCTGGAATAATGTAGCTGTATAATGCTGGCCTGATAGCATGATGTTAGCTTGATAACATGAGGTTAACCTGATAGCATGATCTTAGCTCTGATAGCATGATGTTAGCTCTGATAGCATGATGTTAGCTGTATAATGTTAGCCTGATAGCATGATGTTGGCTTGATATAATTTTGTTTGCCTGAGTGCTTGCCTGGAAACATCATCTCAGTCTGATTACATGAAATTAGCCTGCTAACATGATATCAGCGTGATTACATCAAATGAGCCTGACATCAGTATGTTAGCCTTCTAATTTAATGCTAGCCTCATACAAATAGTAGCCTGAAAATGTCATGTTAGCCTGATAACATAATGTTAGCTTGAGAATACAGTATGTTAGCCTGCTAGCTGGATCTTAGCCTCATAATAAAACAGTAACCTGATAACACCAAATAAGTCTGATAACATGATGTTAGCCTGATCAATTAATGCTAGCCTCATAATAACAGTAACATAACTCATAACAGTCGCCTGATAACACCTTGTTAGCGTTGTAACATCTAATTAGCCTGATAACATGATGTTAGCTTGAGAATACAGTATGTTAGCCTGCTAGCTGGATCTTAGCCTCATAATAAAACAGTAACCTGATAACACCAAATAAGTCTGATAACATGATGTTAGCCTGATCAATTAATGCTAGCCTCATAATAACAGTAACATAACTCATAACAGTAGCCTGATAACACCTTGTTAGCGTTGTAACATCTAATTAGCCTGATAACATGATGTTAACCCTGAAAATATACAGCATGTTAGCCTGATAGATGGATGTTAGCCTCATAATAAAATAGTAGCCTGGTAGCAACTAGTTAGCCTTGTAACATCTTATTAGCATGATTACAACATGTTAGTTAACAGTTTGAAGCACATGGTCCTGCTCACAGAGTGGATGTTAATGACAGCAGACACAACACACGACATTTAAAAATGTGAATACACAACACGGTAGACGTCTATATGAACTGTACGCCACAAAAACACTGAAATGACTGAGCAACACAACAGTGATGAACCAACAGAGAGGTGATCAGTGTGAAGGAGCAGCTAATGAAGCTAATGAAGCTGATGATGATGATGATGATGAAGATTTACCTTATTAGATCTCTTCCAGGATCTCCTGAGCAGCATGGTCTGAATATACATCAACAAACATTAATTCAACTGCAGGGGGGGAGACTGGTTTGAACTAAAGTGCTGATTACCAGAGGTGGGAAGTAACTAAGTAGATTTACTCAAGTAGCCTACTGTACTTAAGTACAATTTTGAGATACTTGTACTTTAAATGTTATACTACTTTGTACTTCTACTCCACTACCTTTAGTTACTTCACAGATGTGGATGAATGATGTGAAATATAATCAAGTGTTAAATCAGACTTTAGTTCCACCTGGAGTAAATCCACAAGCTACCCTGCAGTATACAAAGTCATTCAAACTAGCTGCACCTTTACCAGCTTTGAGAACACTTTCATGATCAATCATTATAAAACATATCATATATATTATTCTGAAATGGACCAATCTGCACAATCACTACTTTTACTGTCGCTACTTTCACTATATTTTGATGAGAATACTTTTCTACTTTCACTTGAGGAACATTTTGAATGCAGGACTTTTACTGTAACAGAGTATTCCTACACTCTGGTACTTCTACTTTTACTCAAGTACAAGATCTGAGTACTTCTACTTTAACTCAAGTACAAGATCTGAGTACTTCTACTTTTACTCAAGTACAAGACCTGAGTACTTCTACTTTTACTCAAGTACAAGATCTGAGTACTTCTACTTTTACTCAAGTACAAGATCTGAATACTTCTACTTTTACTCAAGTACAAGATCTGAGTACTTCTACTTTAACTCAAGTACAAGATCTGAGTACTTCTACTTTTACTCAAGTACAAGATCTGAGTACTTCTACTTTTACTCAAGTACAAGATCTGAGTACTTCTACTTTTACTCAAGTACAAGATCTGAATACTTCTACTTTTACTCAAGTACAAGATCTGAGTACTTCTACTTTAACTCAAGTACAAGATCTGAGTACTTCTACTTTTACTCAAGTACAGGATCTGAGTACTTCTACTTTTACTCAAGTACAAGATCTGAGTACTTCTACTTTTACTCAAGAACAAGATCTGAGTACTTCTACTTTTACTCAAGAACAAGATCTGAATACTTCTACTTTTACTCAAGTACAGGATCTGAGTACTTCTACTTTTACTCAAGTACAGGATCTGAGTACTTCTACTTTTACTCAAGTACAAGATCTGAGTACTTCTACTTTTACTCAAGAACAAGATCTGAGTACTTCTACTTTTACTCAATTACAATATTTGAGTACTTCTACTTTTACTCAAGTACAAGACCTGAGTACTTCTACTTTTACTCAAGAACAAGATCTGAATACTTCTACTTTTACTCAAGTACAGGATCTGAGTACTTCTACTTTGACTCAAGTTGAAGATCTGAGTACTTATACTTTTACTGTATCTAAATTGCTCCACATTGACAAGCTACAATACTAAAATGCTCTTACATGTATAAAAACAGGATAACCTAATAACCACAATAATATAATACTGTGAAAAGATCCATTCTGCAACAAGTAATTTTACTTTTGATACTTGAAGTACTCTTACCTGATAAAACTGCTGTAGTTTATATTATTGTGAAATGGGACATTGTGCAGATTGAGTACTTCAACGTTTTGTGTTAGTATGTTTTGATGCTAATACTTTTGTACTTTCACTTAAGTCAAATATTGAAATCAGGACTTTTACATGTAATGGAGTACTTTAAGACCATTTTACTACAGAGTACCAACACTGCAACCTTGCATCCGATGTATGCACTTAATAAAGTAAGTTCCAGTCTGTCTATCCACAGTGGCTTCAATACAACATATAGGACTTTATGACTGGCTGCTTTCAGTTATAAAACGTATTACAAATTCAGTGTAATGGGAGTAATGCAACTCTAAAATCGTCTTATTCAGTCGTTTTCTTTGACTACTTTCACTTCCTTGTCTTTCCTCGGCAGTCCTTCTATAACCATGCTGCTGGTAATACACAGTAATTGAAAGGATGTAGAAAGGAAGTTTGCTTGTGCTTTTAGCCACACTTCCTCATCCTCAAAAAAAGATTCCTTGGAAACCATTTCTCTCTCTGTCTCTGAGGCAATATGCGTTAACTTTCTCATGGATTTGACAAATCATCAACTTCTCATGGTCAAATAGAAGTCGTTCAAAGTGAAACATCTAAACAACTACTAATTGCAATGAATTTGGTACTAACGGTATAATTCAGCAACAAAATGACCATGCATATAATACTAACTCACCTTGTGTGTTGACCTTTGATTCTTAAAGAAAAAGTGTATCACCAGAGCCTGGATGACAAACTAACTGTGAGTCACTTGGTGGTTGAAATACAATTCATGAAATACTGTATGTAAAATGTATTCTGCTATTTCATATTTTCTACTTCTTCTTAGAGAAGAAATATTGTACTTTTTACTTTACTAAATGTATCCAATAACCTCTGCTGCCTTTTTCTGAATGATATTAATGATATAATCATCAAATTAAATGACGATGTAATATTATAGGTGAAGATAACACTTTATTCATCGTTCAAGAGGGATATTAAAGTAGACATTAAATGCATGATTTTGTCAAATAATGAAATATGACGTACATGTATATATCATTTTATTGTAATATTATTCTATAATTGACAATTCTGCATACTGAGACCTTTTACATTTGGAACTACATGATTTGATGGTAATACTTTTTAAAATGCATGAGTTTTCCTACCCTGTACTTCCTCAACCTATAGCCGTAAGTACTTGGTGTGAAAGCGGCTAATGACTCTCATCAATGTTCTCTACTGTTTGGGAGGAGAAATATTATTTTCATTTCACACAATGAAGCCTGTTAATGTATGTATCAATACAATTTTACCTACACGGAAGATTTCAGCAATATACAGGTGCATGAAATTATGTCATCATATAATCAGAATGATGAAGTGAAATCACATTTTTGTGAATGACTTCTTCCAGCTACACTTTGTTCTCAGAAATGCTGATGTAAGGTCTTCTGTTATAAACGGATGAGGAAGAGAAAGTCCCATCATGTTAACTCAATCTCAGCTCTCACAATACGCTACTAATGTACTACTAATAATGCATAAACTTCCAATACTACCTGAAGTGCTACAGATTAATGTATTTATATATTGCTGCTGAAATATTATCACCTACAATGTACTGTTCTAATACCATGGCTACTAAAGCTCAGTGGAGGAAAAAGTATTAAAATAATTGACTTCAGTAAAAGTAGCGGTATAAAAGTATAAAACTACTTCATTACAAGTCTTGCATTCCAATCCTCATTGATGTAAAAGAACCGTAGTGTTAGCAACACATTGTGCTTAAAGTGCCGTGGCTACTGTCAGTGCTTTGCTTTATATTATTAGTGGTGCATTAACCTGCATCTAGTACTTGAATGTTGCTGTTCATCCTAATTTGAAAGATTCTACCATTATGCTTACTATTTAGTACTGCTATGATGTACAGCATCTATTACTTAAAGGGGACCTCTCATGCAAAATGCACTTTTGTACGTCTTTTCTACATGAATATGTGTCCCCGGTGTTCCAGGGAACTCACCAAGTGTCAGAAAACACAACCCTCTCTATTTTCCTCCATACCCAAATCTCTAAAAAAGGGGCTGCAACGGATCTGATAAAAACTGATCCAGATTTGAACACTGTCCTGACGTCAGGACGGTGGCGCTACGGCTATTGGGCCAACTCCACCAATCAGGAGGAGACAGCCACGGCCATTGCCGTTCGAAAGCGCTGGAGACGCTGTAGTACATATGCCAGGCCTGTAGGTGGTGCTGTTCTCACTGAATCAGCCCTTACAAACACAGAGCAAAAAAATGCAAATTGAGCAAAATGAGGCATGGCTAAAATGCATGATCTGTTTGGTATTTTGAAAAAAAAAAAGGATAAATATGCCTTATATAGGTATGGTCCTACACTATATTATTCAAATATAGCATGATAGGTCCACTTTAAACATGCTTGATTTTTGAATGTGTGTATTAATGTCCCACAATGCAATGCCTAAAAGAGTCAGAAAGATCTGGGATTTAGAAAAAAGTAAAGAGGCGCTTTCACACCGGAGTACTTTTCCCAGGAATAGTTCCGATAGTTCCTGGGATTACGCGTTCACAACCAAAAAGATCTGGAACTAGAACTTAGTTCGCTCTAATCTTTTCACCGCCAGATAGTGCCTGCTAGAGAGCAGGGACTATCTGGGGAGAAAAAGGTTACAATTTCTGATTGTCTGGGCGAATTGCAAACCACGCCCTGTAAAACTCCGAAATGTTTGGTGAAGCCGCCATTTTATTTGCTCGCATTAGCATTATTAGCATTAGCCCAGCGCACCAACGGAGAGAGACAAACTTATGGCAACACAAAAAACCATGGGAGCGGTGGAGTGATGAGGAGGTGTCGGCGCTTCTGGCGATTTACTCGGAAGACGCGACCCAGCAGATTCTACTGAAGCCAGTCCCCAACTCCGGGGGACTCCGGGACTTCGGGTGGCAGTATACGCCGTGAAGTTGTTTGCGGCCTGCCAGTAAACCCAAAGCAGAAGAAGAAGAAGAAGAAGAAGAAGTGACGTCAGCGGCTTCATCTGCGTAATCCTCCCTCAGGGACTTATTCCGGTGTGAACGCGAGCTACTAGGACAGTTCCGGGACTAAAGAGTTCGGCGGGACTAAGTACCGGGAACTAAGTACCGGGAACTAAGTACCGGGAACTAAGTACCGGGAACTAAGTACCGGGAACTAAGTACCGCAAAGTACTTGGTGTGAAAGCGGCTAAGGACTAATCTTTGGAACGATCATTTTGATGATATGTTTTGCAGTATTTAACCTCTGAAAAGTGTAATGAAGTATGGAGTCAATGTTCACTTCCCCACTGCCATTCAACATGCATTTCATTGCAGTGCTTATATTTGTGATTTTATTACAATTAAGAAACATGCTGTTACGTTTTTAATCTGGGACATATTTTTGCAGCAATTAACAGAGATTTAAAGTTATATTAAAGTGAGAGCTTGCAGATAAAAGTCCTTCCATAATGATGGCAGTTATATCCAGATAAATCTAAAGAGAAAGCAACAATCAAAAGCCCTATCCATATTCTGTGCAAAACGTTTTGAAGAATTGTTTCACATAATTATTGACGTCACATTTCCTCTGCAGAAAACAGAGCTGTAACAGAAAACAAGAACCAGTTTTTTTTCTTTCCGAGAATCAGTTGCTTTGTGAGAACATGACTCAGCAATGATGGGGCTGTTGGAGGCAGGAGTTGTATAAATACAGGGAGCACAGAGCAGGTTTCTATCACACTTCAATCCTTGAAGATTACAAGCTTTCATCCCAACAGCAGCTCTGAACCATCTCTGAACTATGAAGACTCTGGTGACGCTCGTACTTCTGATCTGCGTCCTGCGTCACTGCACTGCCGGTCAGTATCTTTTCTGGATTTCTCTGTGAGCTGTCAATGTAAACTGTGTTTGGTATTAAGTGTGTGTTTGTTTGTGTTCACAGCTCCGTTTGGACCATCAACACCAAAGGATGGATGTTGTGAAGGCTTCACTAAAAAAAGAATTCCCAAACAAATGGTGAAACACATGGCGAGGACCCCGAGTGACTGTGAACCCCGAGCAATTGTGTAAGTTTATACACGTGTGCATGTTAATCTAATACACCCCGTGTGTTTCTTAGTTTCTATATTAGCAATAACACAAGGTATAAATATTGTATAAATATTATATTATTAAAATAATTCTTTGGTGCAAATGAAAGTAATAATTAAATAACTAATAATAAAAGCAAAGTAAAGTAACAGTACCTCATATTGTAGCAATTACACACCTTAAATAATTATTTCTAAAATGAATTATTTCTTGTTAATGGTAAATGGACTACATTTTCATACTCCCACCAGAGAGAGCTGTTTAGTTAACCAGCATGTAAACTGTCTATAGGCGCTTTCACACCGGAGTACTTTTCCCAGGAATAGTTCTGATAGTTCCTGGGATTTTGCGTTCACACCAAAAAGATCTGGAACTCGAACTTAGTTCGCGCAAACCTTTTCACCCCTTGTCAGTCCCTGCTAGAGAGGTGGTACTTTCCTGGGGAGGAAAAGGTTCCAATTTCTGATTGGCTGGGCGAATTGCAAACCACGCCCCGTAAAACTCCGAAATGTTTTGTGAAGCCACCATTTTATTTGCTCGCATTAGCATTATTAGCATTAGCATTAGCCCAGCGCACCAACGGAGAGAGACTAACTTGTGGCAACACAAAAAAACATGGGAGCGGTGGAGTGATGAGGAGGTGTCGGCGCTTCTGGCGATTTACTCGGAAGACGCGACCCAGCAGCTTCTACTGAAGCCAGTCCCCAACTCCGGGGGACTTCGGGTGGCAGTATACGCCGTGAAGTTGTTTGCGGTCTGCCAGTAAACCCAAAGCAGAAGAAGAAGAAGAAGTAACGTCAGCGGCTTCATTTGCGTAATCCTCCCTCGGGGAACTTATTCCGGTGAGAACGCGATCTACTAGGACAGTTCCGGGACTAAAGAGTTCGGCGGGACTAAGTACCCGGAACTAAGTACCGCAAAGTACTTGGTGTGAAAGCGGCTATTAATGACTCTTATTATTTCTTGTGTTTCTAACAATATGCAATTCTTTTCTTACAGAATCACAACTGTATGTCTGAAGAAGTTCTGTATTGATCCTAACCTGCCCCTCGCAAAGAACCAATTGGCACTTTTCGAGACGTCACCATCTGCAAATGGTTTCAATGTTGGAACATGTCCAACGAGACAATACAAGTGACAGGCTGATCACATTGTGAGGCAGAGTGTCTTTTAAGATAAGACAATATCAACTACTATTGTATGTTACTGAATTAATATTAAGATGTATGAGTCCTCATGTGTGTGTATGACATTGCCTAAGTTAATATTTGGAGAACATTGTAAATGTATTTTTGCTACACAGTGACTGTCCCTTTTAGAATAAAAGATTATTTTTGTATTTAATGTTATGCTGTCTTTATTTTGGAGGCCATGTCTTTAAAGCGAGACAAGGGTTGCGGTCGAATAGTCCATTTAGCTTAGGAACCTTCCTAACGGAGTGAAATGACCCGGAAGTCCCTCAGTGGCAGCCATGATAAGTGCTGTTCGAATTCTCTAGATGAAAGGAAAGGAGGTTTCAAGCTTCCTTTATAACCTCCTTTAGCTTAGGAACCACTGGACCTCCCTAACCTAAAGGAGAGGAGTAAATGCTGCCCCACAATGCCTTGCGGCCGCGGCATTTGCCGTCACACAACAGTCGGCCGTCCACGGAAACAACCGATTATGACGGAGAAATGATATCATGAAAGTTACGGTGCTTATTAAGCATTTTAAAACGTATGTGGTAAGTTGCCAAAGTGCTTTGTTTTGAACGTTCATCAGTATTATAATCAAAAAGAGAAATATGAACGTTAGTTTTTACTGAAATGATCAAATAAAGTCAACATTTCACAGTCTTTACTGAGCTGTGTGGGGTTTGTTCAACTTTTAAAATATGTTTGAATGGTGATAGGCTATACACAGTGATAGATGTTAAGGACTAACGTTTATAATAAATACATTTGTATTGATTTTAAGATCTTTTCATACAATCATACGTATTGGGATCATTTGTATTAATGTGGACCGGAGGGAGAGGGTGACAGTTTCACTTTCCTTTTTTATTTCAATTCCAACTTTGGTCATGAAGAATATCTTTCTCTGTTGTCCCCGTTCATAAAGCATAAAACAACAGCATCAGAGCACGGTGCAGAGTCTCTAGATGAGTTTACAGTAGTCCCTCGTTCTTATTAAACATCCATGTTGTAGTCCGCTGTATAGAAAACTGTAGTTTCCATAGTTTCCCCACAGCAGCAGGCGCACATTTATGACCTCTGCTGGCGCATCATAAACACGTCGGATAGTGAAAGTGCAGTCGATTCTCTAAAGTGCCGCAGTCTCTTCTCCTAAGTCCTTTTGAATTCTCCTATCCACTATCCCTTAACCCCGTGACCTTTCACTCAGAGGTCAAGGGATAGACGATAGGGTTAGAACTTAGGAGCTGTTTTTTTGGAGTATTCGACCGCAACCACAGAGTAACCTTCACTCAGCTCACTAAAGCTGGTTTATATTCATGCAACATAGCTATACGGTGTATAGTTTAAAAGGGGAGAACAAACACTGCAGCTGCTGTGTTGAAAGTTATTGAACACATGCAGTGGAGTTACTTTACACCACTGTTACAGTAACACTACTACGTACATTTATTAGATGATAATACTTTTCTACTTTTACTTGAGGAACATTTTGAATGCAGGACTTTTACTGAAACAGAGTATTCCTACACTCTGGTACTTCTACTTTTACTCAAGTACAAGATCTGAGTACTTCTACTTTTACTCAAGTACAAGATCTGAGTACTTCTACTTTTACTCAAGTACAAGATCGGAGTACTTCTACTTTTACTCAAGTACACGATCTGAGTACTTCTACTTTTACTCAAGTACAAGATCTGAGTACTTCTACTTTTACTCAAGTACAAGATCTGAGTACTTCTACTTTTACTGTAACAGAGTATTCCTACACTCTGGTACTTCTACTTTTACTCAAGTACCACATCTGAGTATTTCTCCCATCTCTGCTGATAACTACGATCAGGAAAAAATAACTAATTGTGATATTTTTGACAGATATTGCAAATGTGTGAATGATAATTATTGGAACATTATTCACATTATCACAGAAATGAAAACACATACATGTGTTCACCACCAGGGGGGGCTACAGGGTTATTATTGCTAACTACAAGCAGCTAAAACAGAAGGGGGGTGTACTGCAACATTAATACATCTCCATGAATAAAGCATCTGAAAATAGATGGAAGCCGTGGAGGATGTGCTGAATATGTATTATTGTGGCCTCATTAGCTTTAATGATCTTTCTGTCTGTTGTTGTTGTTGTTTATTATCATTATTCTTCTTCTCTCTTTTGTGGTTTCTCTCTCTCTGCAGCACAGACTGTCACTGCCTGATGATTCATTTATATACTGAATAAAATATGCACCAGACAGGCTGTGTTTTATGTCTAACTGCTTTGGACAAAATCTTATCATACAGACATTTTTACTGTGCGAGCAGAAAGTACATTTTCAAAATACGAGCATAATATAAGCAACTGTATGAAACACTGACTCTTTTATATAAAAAATAGGGTTATATTATTGGTAGTAAAATGTATTTAGCGATTAAAGTATATTTTACATTGTACATATTACATTCATGCAATTTGTAGAAGGTAATTATGCATTATTTGATATTTTTGGCTACTTGGAAGGCATTCAAATCATATTCTGTTAGGGTTATTATTATCTCTGCATGTTGAACACTACATTTAGTTATTCATTGTTGGTCTCTCCAAACTCCAATGGAAATATCTCTCTATTTGAACACTAAATGCTCCACTCATTTATGAATGATGCATTCACAGCGGCTTCAAAATAAAGTCTTAACCCATGTCTTTAGTCCCTTTGGAAATCAGTGCCATTTTAATATCAATGGTGAGGGAAACACTTCTATATTTCATAAGCGAAACTACAAGGAAAACTACAAGAACTACAAAACTACAGGAAGTCGGCCATCTTTGAAGGATACCAGCAAACGCAAATTGTAGATTTAATTTGAAAAACGAGTGAAGAAGCATGACTTTTTTTCAAGTTTCGATTAAGTTCCCGTACTTTTCGGACGTCCAACAGCTGACCTGTAAAAGCCGATAGATATTGACGTTTGCTGACGTTACTATAGACGTTACTATACACGTTGCTATAGACGTTATCCTTCAAAGATGGCCGCCCCGTGCCCTTAAATGCACCGTGGTTCCCGTTATCTATTTGAGGTTAAAGGGGTGATTCAGGGTGAAGCTGTAAGAGCCTAATCTCCACTACACTCACTTTATTCACATACGGCTTCCAGCGGTACGTCTGAACCTTTCTCAGCTGTAGGAACACAAACGCACCACAAAGAGAGAAACATGCTGAAGAAAGTGAAACTAAAATCCTGTGTTTTTACGTGTGTGTGTGTGTGTGTGTGTGTGTGTGTGTGTGTGTGTGTGTGTGTGTGTTGAAACAGATTGTGCTGAACTGTCTTTCCCTCTTAATAGTGGTTGTGTAATCCAGTAGTGTTGGAGGGATTAGTGGATTAATGGATTAGTGAAGTGATTCCTTAAAACAGAGTAATGTCCACCTGTGATCCTCCGTGTGTGGTTACATGTTGCTGTTAAATGGAAAAAACCACACATCTTTTACTTGCTTAATAAGTTATTTTAAAGTAAAATGTTTCAAAAGGAAAACAGCTAAATGTTCAGGTGAGTTTGACAAAAAAGTAAATAATTTTAACTGTAGAAATGCATTTTTATTCTGCTTTACCGTCCTATTTACTGTGTGATCACTCAAGTTTTATATGAAGTCTTAGGGCCATTGTACTTAAAAAAAACTATCAGTATTTCTAAGTTAAGATTTGTCATTTGAAGAGAAAACTACTTGACAGTAAAGTGGAACATTTACGAGTAAAAATGCTGAAAATAACTTGAATAAATATCTGAGATTGAAAATCACTCATTTATCAGGAATTAAATCCCAGAAACAAATCAAATATTGTCTGAGATTTAAGCCCCCTTTTAAAGGTGGGGTAGGTAAGTTTGGAGAAACCAGCTCGAGTGCACTAGAATTTGAAAATACACAGCCGGAACAAATCTGCCACTTCCTCACAGAGCCCCTCCTCCAACACACAAGAACGCGCACATGACCAATGAGGGCACGAGATAAGTTTGTGCACAGATGGAAGGCTGACAGGCAGGTAGGCCATCCAGTTATTTTAGCCGGGCCGGCTCAGATGATTGGTCGTGCTTTTTACAGTACTACAGCTTCCACAGAGGATATTTTTTTATGGATTTCTTGTCAAAGCACTTCAGATATTCATTGCTATCGGGATGTTAAGAGCATTCCATGGAATATAACAACAAGTGTATCTCGAGCCGGTTTCTCAAACTTACCTACCCTACCTTTAATTTGGTTTAGTTATAACGTCTGCATGGTTTGAATCCATTTATTTTAAATCTGCTCTATCATTAACCTACGGAAGAGGATTAGGGTCTGGATTCTGACTTGTTTGCGAAAAAGTTTGAAAATATCAGATTTCTTTTTTCTTGATTTTTCGTTTTCTGAGATTAATCTCATACTTGTGTCTCAGAACTCAAAAAGTAAATACATTTTGGACAGATCTCAATGACTCTCAGTCATCCCTTTTCTTCGATATAACTTAACGTAGTATTTTATATATACTTTTTGCACACTTTGTATTTTGAATTTTTGTATTTCATTATATATGTTGCATTGTTGGAGAAGCTCAGGTCAGAAGAATTTCATTGCCATTTCTACACAGTAGCTTTGTGCATATGACAATAAAACCTTTGAATCTTTGAATGTTAACAGATCCCTTTTCTTCAATATAACTTATAACTAGTCATTTATAAAGATAGTCCCTTGACGTTAACATGAATGAATCCAGAGTGATGATCGGTGTACGTACGGTGGAAGTGGAGTCCCTCCTCTCCTCCAGAGGACTGTCTTTGGGGGTCAGGGTGACGGACAGATCCAGAGAACCCAGATCCTGGTCCGGGTGCTGAGGGTCCTTCAGAACCAGCGTCACAGGAATACACCTGAAACACAGAGAGGGGAAATCACAGAGAAATCAGGAAGAGATTTAGGAAGAGACAGTAGTAGTAAATAAAAGACATTCAAATCATATGTCCTAGTTGTTGTAAACATTCCCAAACAGAGACAGAAAACAACCATAAGCTGATCCAACTAGTTAGTTAGTTAGTTAGTTAGGTAGGGTAGTTAGTTTGTGAGTTTGTAAGTTAGTTAGTTAGTTAGTTAGTTAGTTAGTTAGTTAGTTATTAGTTAGTTAGTTGGTTGGTTAGTTGGTATTTAAGTTGGTATGTAACCCTAAGATAGTTGGTTGGTTTGTAAGTTGGTTATTTAGTTGGTTGTTTGGTTAGTTGGTATGTTAGTAAGATAGTTTGTTGGTTAGTTAGTTAGTTAGTTAGTTAGGTTGGTTTATTGGTCAGTTGGTTGGTCAGTTGGTTGAATTAAGTAAGTTAATAGGTTAGTTGGTATGTAATTAAGATAGTTGGCTGGTTAGTTGGTTTGTAAGTTAGTTAGTTAATCAGTTAGTTTGTCAGTTAGTTAGCTAGTTAGTTAGTTAGTCAGTCAGTTAGTGAATTAGTTGGTTGGTTAATTTAGATAGTTGGTTGGTTAGTTGGCATGTAAGCTAGTTGGTTGGTTAGTTAGTGAGCTAGTTAGTCAGTTAGAATTAATTAGTTTAGGAGGAAGCAGTTACTAGTTGTATATTTTAGAAAAACTCATCACATTCATGTCGTTCCAAACTAGGGTTTTCATTCATCACCGAATGCTAATCAGTTCTAGTCGGACACTGCAAGGTGTTGTAAAGTATTGTGTGTTATTGAGAATGGTCTGTCTTGTTAAGAGAAGTTGTCTGTAAACAAAGAAGGCCATTGAGCAAACAGCAGGAGTGTGTGTGTGTGTGTGTGTGTGTGTGTGTGTGTGTGTGTGTGTGTGTGTGTGTGTGTGTGTGTGTGTGTGTGTGTGTGTGTGTGTGTGTGTGTGTGTGTGTGTGTGTGTGTGTGTGTCGGCTCTCTTGCAGGTACTCATGTTTTCAGTAAACTGCTGTAATGAGATCTGGGAGGAAGACGAGGCCGACGAGGAGTGGAGCCTGAAGGCTGAGAAAGTTATATACACCACAGCTTCATAAAAGAAAACATAACTTGATAATAGAATGAAAAGCAAGAGACAGGTTTTACAAGTTAACGAATCACACGTGTGGAGTCAGTAAATAAAGCAGAATGAGGAGGACAACGAGAGGATCTGCTTTAGTGTTCAATGATCAATATCAGACATGCTTTACAGAGAAGCTGATGAAGAAGGCTCAGGGTAAAATCAATAATGCTGTGATCAGTGTGAATGGACACTACATCATGTTGATGGATCACCTCTGTCTCAGAAGATGTCAGTATGTCTAAGAAAGACCATCAATTCAACTAAAAGCTCCAGAGAAATCAAATTCATTGACGTGTGTTGTCTTCGAGGTCACAACACCCTATCACAATAAAAGCCCTAGAACTAAACACTGCATCGATGCCTATCAAGCAGCATTTTGCTAAGAGGAAACTCAACAAAATAGCTCACTTATTAGCGCCTTAAAACAACAAAAAGTTCAATTTAAATTGTGTTAATCTATGAATGTTTCAACTGAAAGGAGCTTTACTTTGTAAGACTGTCTTCTAGGTTACAACCTCCCTTTCACAATAAAAGCCCTAGACATAGACACTGTATCAATGCCTATCAAAGAGCATTAACTGTGGATCACATGTATTGATTTTCTAATGGATTTGATAAGAGTCGTTGTGTTTGTAGTAGATACACCAAAATGATTTACCTCTGCTGCTCCAGAGACTCCATGTAGAGATAAGCAGAACCCATGAAGTCGTCCTGGAGTCCGAAGTCGTAGTCGAACACCTGCAGAGGAGAAAGACACACACACACACACACACACACACACACACACACACACACACACACACACACACACACACACACACACACACACACACACACACACACACACACACACACACACACACACACACACACACACACACACACACACACACACACACACACACACACACACACACACACACACACACACACACACACACACACACACACACACACACACCTCCACTCAATGCTCATCAATAATGCACAGGGGAACATTCAAAGTGTCAGGGGAAGGAGGAGGAAGTGCTCCTCTAAGTGTTCAGAACAAAATAAATAGTATTTAAAAAGCCTCTTGGAGCCGCTGGAAAATGCCTCGTCACAAAGCTGAAGACTTGTGATAAGTTTGAGACTTTTTAGAGATAGAAACATATGAAGATCTTATTGGATATGATGCAAAGCTGCAGATTGAACTAGCCAACAGTTTGTATAGGAGGTGAAATATATACAGCAGTAACATGCAGAAAAATATAATGAATAATAACAAAAAGTATGTTAAAAAAGCCCTAAAAATACCAGAAAAATGCTTGATAAATTTAGGAAAATATTGTCCAAAAAGATTGCAATATGTTAAAAGATTATGTGGAAAATGGATAAATTTTTTTTTTTAAAGAATTCTGAAAAAATGTAAAAGAAGTAGAAAAATGTCCTAAAAAAATATTTGAAACATGTGCGTTAAAGGTTTGAATACTTGTCTAAAATAAATGTGGTAAATAAATGAACATTTAAGATAATTGATGCAGAAAATGTCCAAAAGAATTCCCCTGAATGTGTTAGAAATATATGAATAAACACGCACTGCTTCAGATTAAACAACCTAATTCTAATTTAATTATATTGTGAAAACATCCAAAATATAAATGTGAATAGTTTGAAAATAACCTAAAAAATAATTATGAAAAAACCTCAGAAAAATTTATAAAAATTATACGAATATGAAAAAATGTCTAAATGTTCAGAATTGTTTTGAAAATGTCAACATGTGAACGTGTGATATATTTACCTTGACATACAGAGGGTCGCTCAGGCAGTCCAGGATTATCGTGGTCTTCTCGTCCCACACCGGGTTCAGGTTCTTGTGGATGGTTTTGCTTCGAAACACCTCCTTCCCAGAGAGCTTGAACTTCACATACGGGTCGCTGCTGCCTGTAAACACAAACCAGTCAAATATATAATAATTTAAAACATATAGTCTTATACTCTGATTGCCTTTTACTTGTTCAATTGTGTTTTTAGTCTGTGTTTAACAGAGACATGTGTTAAGGGTTTACCTCTCAGGAGGGCAAAGGAAGTTAAAGGGTTATTGTCCCCATGGAGAGATGGATGTTATATGTGCAGTAACTAGTCTAGTATGTATGTATGTATGTATGTATGTATGTATGTATGTATGTATGTATGTATGTTGTGTTGTATGTATGTATGTATGTTGTGTTGTATGTATGTATGTATGTATGTGTGTATGTATGCATGCATGCATGCATGTATGTATGTATGTATGAATGTATGTATGTATGTATGTATGAATGTATGTATGTATGTATGTGTGTGTGTGTGTGTGTGTGTATGTATGTATGTATGTATGTATGAATGTATGTATGTATGTATGTATGTATGTATGAATGTATGTATGTATGTATGTGTGTGTATGTATGTATGTATGTATATATATATATATGTATGTATGTATATATATATATATGTATGTATGTATATATATATATGTATGTATGTATGAATGTATGTATGTATGTATGTATGTATGTATGTATGTTATGTCTGAAGAGTATTACAAAAGAAGGAACAGGACTCCTCCCACCTCCTCGGTCTCTGACGGCCAGGTTGTTCCCTCTCTTCAGATCGATCTCCAGTTTGTACATGCTGGAGGAGGCTCGCTCCGACGAGGGCGGAGCTCCGATTCCCTGGAGACATTCATGCTTTCATTACATAATCATTGTTGTAAAATACTGAGTGTCCTCTTCCAACATGAGAGTAACATGCTAACAAAGGTATCCCAACTGTAGCTGTGTACATGACAGGATGTATGATTACCTAGAAGAGCATCAGGACTGTTTGAGGCATATGATAGCTATGTGATTAACATGATGATTCAGCCTCTATGGAGATAGACATATGACAAGTATGATCATTTCTGACGTGGAGCTAATCTGAAGTAAACATTGAATACTGCTTTCTATTCCTCCATCTTGTGACTGTGTAACTCCCTCTCTTGGATATCAGCATGTGAAGGACACTGTTCAGGAACTAGTTGATGCTCTGTATGTGATGACTACTTCCATTCTGGAGAGGATCACAGATACATGGATCCTGAGATTGAAGCTCAAGCCGGGGACCAGGGAGACTTTTCTAACAAATTGTCGTGTCAAATGATCATATAATCATTTAAAACATATAGTCTTATACTCTGATTGCCTTTTACTCTGTTAAAAGGTATTTGTAGTCTTGTATGTACAGAGACATGTGGTAACGACCAGTTGGCTGTTTCCTCTCATGAATACACAGAGAGACTGTCAGCAGACCTTCTCTCTCCTCTGAGGATGAAGCTGCTCTGTTCCTGCACTTCAGATCCATTTCACTTTATTTTGACTTTCTTTATTACTTTATTAAATATAACAAAAGACAAACTTTGTCCATGAAGCATTTATCAGTTTCTCTGAAGAGTTTCCTCCACAATCATCACTCAATCACGTGCACGCTAAAAATGAACTCACAGAAAGAAAGACTACAGCTCGCACGCACGCACGCACGCACGCACGCACGCACGCACGCACGCACGCACGCACGCACGCACGCACGCACGCACGCACGCACGCACGCACGCACGCACGCACGCACGCACGCACGCACGCACGCACACACACACACACACACACACACACACACACACACACACAACACACACACACACACACACACACACACACACACACACACACACACACACACACACACACACACACACACACACACACACACACACACACACACGTGTTAGTCGGAAACCTCCTAAAGAAGTGCTATAACTGTGGAAAGTAATCAAAGTTGCCAGTCAAAACTTACGTGCATAACATAAATAATAATCAAATGGAGAGGAATAACTAAATGTGTTGTGCTGTTGGATCAAATATCACTTCCTGTTGAGCTAACTGTGTGGTTTGTGTTGTTTCTGAGGTCACTACTCTATTTATAATAGAGTAGTGACAGCACAGCACATCACCAGGACGGAGCTGCCATCCATGGAGGACCTTTACTCCCAGCAGCTCAGGAAGAAATCACTACGGATTATCAAAGACCCCCATCACCCCAGCCACAAACTGTTCTTTCTGTTGCCGTCTGGCAGACGTTACCGCAGCATCCTGGCAAGGACAAGAAGATTCGGAGACAGTTTCTTCCCGCGGGCAGTGAGACTGTTAAAAAATTGAACTGTTGAAACAACATCAAACATTCATCTGCTACTCAGTAATATGTATCTAATATCTAATATATATCATTCCAATAACTTGTATATAGACTCATACTGCACTATTCCACATCATCACTTTATTTTATATAAATATTTTTATTTTTGTATTACTCTTGCTCTTATTGTTATGATGTTATTGTGTTGCATTGTTGGAGAAGCCTGTGACATAAGATTTTCAACAACATAATTACTCTGTAGCTATGTCAGATTGACAATAAAGAACCTTGAACCTTGATAAACCACTATAGGACCAATAAGACCTTTAACATACCAGAAAGAGACACACAATGACCACAAAAACAACTACACAAGTTGCAAAGCCGCTACAAAGAAATGAAAAACACCACAAAGACACGCAATCATTATTGTAAGCAGCAACAAATGACCTCAAAGAAATACAAAACCGGTTCAAAGACGTTACAAACATTCACAAAGATTGAACGTAATAAGTGAAAACATTTTGACAAAATGACGTTAGAGGAACAAAAAACTACAAAGTGATAAAAACTCAAACAAAGAAGTGCAGACATGACTGTAAAGAGACAAGAAACAGCTACAAGGACACTTCAAATGACTATAAAAACACAACCGTTTTCATGCCATCTGTTCAATTCTCACTACGCCACTTCCTGTAGAGCTAACTGTGCGGTTTGTGATGTTACTGAGGTCATTACTCTCCTTATACACCACTATAGGACCACCGAGACCTTTAACATACCACAAAGAAATGCAAAACAACTTCAAAGATACACAAAATGAACACAAGGAGACTTACAATTACCATATAGCAATACAAAAAGGACACAAAAGGACATGTAGAGATAGCTGTGTGTAGTTTGGGTCGTTTCTCTCCTACAATTCCATTTGAAAGTGGCAGTACACTGCATATGGCTAGGATGTATCTGAATGTAGTCAATGTTCACTGCTCAATGCAGAATAACGACTCCTCGCTTCACTACACAATCCTGTCCTCCTTTCACAATAAAAGCCCTCGACATAAACACTGCGTCGATGCTTATCAACGAGCATTTTGATGAGAGGAAACTCAACGAAATATCTTACAGCTGCTTCAGTTTCATAAAGGAAACTCTACAAACTGTAACTAGAAAGTAGAGACTGAGCTTTACTTTCTCAAAACAGAGAATTTCACCCCAAAATAGAGAATCACCAACTTCCTCTCAGCAGGAATGAAATCACAATCAACCCCGAATCAACAGAGACTCACCGGCATCTCTAGGAAAGATCAAAGCCCAGATGAATCGGTCTCTGAAGCCTCCACTTCCTCCGTGTTTCTGCTCTAACACACACACTCACACACACGCTCTGAAGAGAAACTCAGATCAGTTATCGTCCCGGGGGTTTCACTACTAACAGGAAATTACACAAGACGCTTCCTCCCGTGCAATCAGAGCGTTGTGACACACACACACACACACACACACACCAGACACACTGCTTCACTATCTGATGTGGTGTAAGAGAGGCAGATGATTCGGAGCTTTCCAGACATTTAGAGAGTCACCGTGCAACAGGCTGAACGGGAGGATTTTTGCACAATTCTGCAGACGATTGAAATAACAGTCAATGTCTCTTGATGGAAAGTCAATGGAAGAACTGCAGCAAAGAGACAGCAGTCTGGAGACCTAGGTACAGCATCTCAATCACTGAGGAGTCTTCACTGCAAGTGTCTGAGTTTGAATCTGACTTTTGGGCCATCTGAACTCCTCTCTACTCTAAAGTCTATCTGATAGAGGCACACAATGAGCGAAAACAACTACAGAGAAATGCAAACGCTTATGAGTTACAGAACAACTACGAAGGGATTCAAAACCACTAGACAGCGATGATAAACTACACAAAGAGACCATAAATGACCAGAAGGAGACTCAAAACTACTGAAAAGAGACTCAAAACCACTGCAAATACAAATAATAAATGCAAAAAGTAACATATTAACTCCAAAAAGTCACACAAAATGGTTATAAAGTGTGAACAAAGGACACAAAGCTTCACTAAACAGTGTTTAGCTAACGGCCTTTTTTTGCTGTAATAACTTCATATTTAGATGAAAGTTTACAAGATGAGATTCTCCGTGTGTCGGTGCTCCTCCGATGTAAGCAACAGAGGAAATTAAACTTTCATTAGAGCAACACTCTGGGGATGCTGCTTCCTGCAGACACACACACACTTATACACACACACACACACACACACACACACACACACTTATACACACACACACACACACACACACACTTATACACACACACACTTATATACACACACACTTATACACACACACTTACACACACACACTTATACACACACACTTACACACACACGCACTTATACACACACACTTATACACACACTTATACACACACACTTACACACACACACTTATACACACACACTTACACACACACACTTACACACACACACTTATACACACACTTATACACACACACTTATACACACACACTTACACACACACACTTACACACACACACTTATACACACACACTTATACACACACACTTACATACACACACTTACACACACACACTTACACACACACACTTATACACACACTTATACACACAGACACACACTTATATACACACACTTATACACACACACACACACACACACACACACACACACACACACACACACACACACACACACACACACACACACACACTCACAGAGAAGCTGTTGTCAATAATAATAATGTGATAATGCACGCAGGCTGTCGATGCCACACAGAAGATATCCATCCTTTGCGAGCTCATAGGAGACGATGCGTCGCTGCGGGTTCAACTATAGAAACAGTTTATAAAAGAAGTCAAATGAGATCAACCCGAAGCAGCAGAAAAATGCAAAAAACTAAAGTGAATAATATCCTAAAATATGAGAATAAAGTTGAAAAATGATCTGAAAGATATCATACAAATGATGTATGAAAACATTTCAGATGTTCAGATATATATTTTACTCAAAGAAATCTATTACAAAACGTCCCCAAAAAATGTCATTACGAATGTTTAAAAGATATACGTACAAATCTGAAAGATACAAAAGAAAATATTTACAAAATGTAGGAGAAGTTATGTGAACAATTTCCAAATGTACGGGAAGTTTTCCAAAGGAATATGTGAAAACACAAAACATATGATGAACTTATGAAATATGATGCATTGCTGCAGATTACACCACACACACACACACACACACACACACACACACACACACACACACACACACACACACACACACACACACACACACACACACACACACACACACACACACCACACAACACACACACACACACACACACACACACACACACACACACACACACACACGCGCGCGTTTCCTGAGCTGAAAACACTCACAGTGTTTCAGGTTTTATACGGTGGCATTTTAAAAGCA